ATGAAGAAAATAATAAAGAAAATATACCACCTGATAATAAAGTAGAAGAAGAACGCGAATGCTTCGCGTTGCTACGCGAAGCAAAGCAAGAATTAAAATCTAAAACATACTCAACTGAAAAAGTGGAATGTCCAAAATGTAAAAAATTTTTTAACAAAATACACTTTCAAATATCGTCATAACTGTAATGGAATACCAGTTAAAAAAGAACCAGACCCTAACAAAGTTGTCCGTAGAAAAATTATGCATCCTGAACAAGCAAATGAGTTTAAAAATGATGTATATGAAAAAGTAAAGAAAGATATTCCAAAAGTGGATGAACAAGAAATAGAAAGAAGAGTTGAAGAACGATTGAAAAAACATTTAGAAACAACAGCTAATAAAGTGTTTGAAACTGCAAAAGATAGATATATTAATATGAAGGTAGAACGAGATAATAAAAATAAACAGAAAATTAATAATTTAGCAAGTAAAATTATTTAATCTAATTATTGTTATATAATGATTATTGATAAGAAACAATTGCTTATGCGTCGTAGAGAATTTTATGACAATGTTGTAAAGAGAATAACAGAACCGCAAACTAAAGATAAACCACATATCAGTGATGTTATTGATAGAAAAGCAGTTTTTGAAACAAACAAACCAAAAAAGAAGAGTAAATATAAATCAACTCAACATTACTATTATGAAGGAGACAACAAGGCACATCAACCTAATTATACATATTTGAAAGAATTACAAGAACAATTAGAATATCATAGCGCTAAAAAAGATTATGCTGTATTTCAAACTAAAAGAAGATATATGGATGAAGCACAGGCGTATTTTAATGAAATCCAAAGGTTGGAAGGTGAAAAATTGAGACATCATCCATCAAGTGAAACAGGTAAATCATATTCAGAAATGATTAAGAAGAAGAAAGGAATAATCAATCAATTAAGACAAGATTTTGATTTTTGATTAAATTAATTAATTAGATTAATAAATATAATCTAATTAATTACATATAATGAGATTAGATGATAAGCAGATGAAAACATTAAAATCACAATTGAGATTAAGACCATCATACAATGAACTCATCAACGAAATTACAAAGGAAGAATATAAAAATAAGAATATAAGAGATGTAATAGACAGAAACGCTTATTATTTTCGTGATAGTCCATTAGGAACAGTTTATGATAATAATACCGTAGATTTGAGACAACAACACTTTCAAAAAATATTAGAACATCCTAAAACCATTGAACAGTTTGATATGGCAAAGGACGATGAAATGGATGATTTAAGAGACGGAGCAATACAAACACTAAGTGCTACAATGGACGATGCCGAGGAACAACACGAACAACAAATCAGTCAAATGTCAGAAGATGTTAGACGACAATTTTTAGATGATTTACACGAAAGGGCACGGGTAGCCACAGATTGGAGAAAAACAAAATATGATACTCCATCAGAGGTTTATTCAATGGCAACCGCTAAATCAAGCGATGATGAATTACCACCGTTAGAACCAATTATGACAGAAGACGAAGCAGTTAAACGGATACAAGGGGCACAAAGAGGACTAATGACAAGGAATGAAGAAAGAAGAGAACAAACAAGGGACAGCGCTGACAGTTCATCCACAGTCCAACAAAGACAAACAAGAACACATAAGGAAACCATTGACTATTCAACTGATATAAACCATTGGAAAGGAAGCACAGTAAAGGAAGAAGACATATTATTTCAATTACATTTACGAGGAGCAGGACTTACTGAAGAACAGGAACAGCAATATTCAAACACGAAGAAAAAGGGGAAAGGTAAAAAGGAAACTGGTAGAACTTATTTAGTTGGACTGGAGGAGAAACTTATAAACAGCGGAAAATGGACAACGAAAGTAAATGATGAATTGCTAAGAAAAAGAATGGAAGATTGGAGAGGTATGAAAGGAAAAGGTAAAGCAACAAAGGATTAACCAATCATTTATATAATTTATCAATAATTATATAAATGATTAACAATTTAAAACACGAGTTAAGGAAACGCCCTACTTATGATGAAATGCTTAAACAAGCAATGAAAAGCAAAATAAAAACAACAGTTATATTGAAGAAATACAAAAAAGATATGTTATTGAATAATTTTGATTTTGATAAAATGGATTTAATGAATTATAAAAATAAAGAAAGATATATGAATGCTAAGTCGTTGATGTTAAATAAGGCAACACAAACACTTAACAAAGAAAACAAGGCAACACAAACAGACTTTACAAATGATAAGGCGACACAAACTTATAATTTTGATGATGAGACAAAACTATTAGGTGGGTCTTCAAAGAGTTTCAAAAGCAAATTGATAACCAAGGCTGAAGCAGAAGCAGAAGCATTTACATATGACCCTGATTTATATGATGATGATGATGATGATGACAAAAAAGATGATGACATTGATAAATACAAAAAGAAACTATTTATGTTGATGAGGATTATAGAACTTATGATGAGGTCAGGTTTTAGTATAGGACAAATAGTAGCACACTTAACATATCACACTACATTAACTACAATTCAAGGTTCAGAGTTATTAGTTAATTTAACAATGAATTCATTAGTATCGTCTTATGATATAGCAAGTGCCATAATGAATTGGTTAAATATGAATGTTAGTGAAGAAGTTGAGTTAAACACTGAACCCCCTGTCAGCGTCCATAGTTCTCCGCCTATCACTGTTAATAGTTCTTCAACGCATACTGTTAATTCATCATCCTCAGAAGAAAATCCTAATTATGAAATAGCTCCGCCTACTGACATCCCTGTTCCTACCGGTGTGGATGGGGACGAGTCTGAAAGTGAAAATGATGAAACTGAAAACCAAAATACCAACCCTACAAAAACAAAAACTACTTAAAGAAAATTTGCCTTAATATAATAAGAGACAAATGGCACTGTTTAATTATAGTAATTGTCATTGTAAAAAAAATAAGGTGTGAAAATGTAGTGGCAATAGCAAACATTTTGCCTGTTAATGTGTGTAATATTATTAATGATTATAGTAAAATGGATTGTTTTAAATGTCGTTGTTTGAAATTAAAAGAAATGTATTTTATGAAAGATAAAGATTTACCAGAAGAAGGGTTGGAGAAAGCAGAATTACAATTATTGTTTTTCAAACAGTCGTTTAATAACTACATTACACAAATGACTGGACAACATTATGATGACAAGCAGTATAGAAGAAACATTGACAACATATTTGACAAATTAGGAGTAAAAGAAAGATTTAAAAATAGGAAAATGTATTATCAAGCAATGAAATCATACTGTAAAAATAACAGTCACGAAGTTAGACTAATTTTACGAAAATGTATTAAAATTGAACAATTATCATTTATGAAAAATAATGATGTTAACTTTCCTAACCTAAACAGCTGGTGGTCATATAGAAATAACAATTATTATATGAGACATATTCTTAGCAATTTAATTGAAATTTACACTGACCAATTAACAGAAGGTTATGAACATTATTGTTGTGAGTATAGTATGAGTTGTTATAGTGGCTGTATCGTTGGTGAGATTGAATACGGGACAAATTAACTGTTGTTTATTAATATTATTATCTTATAATATGATTAAACCCTTCTAACCCCCAGAAAGCCGTAAAATGGTCTGAAACCTGAACCTTGAAAATGATGAAACTGAAAACCAAAATACCAACCCTACAAAAACAAAAACTACTTAAAGAAAAAATACCTTAATATAGTAAGATAAAAAAAATGAATAAGTGTATCAGAGAAGAATTGACAAAAGAAATTGTAAAATGCCGTGGTTGTATGATATTCAACAACAAAGTTAAAAAAGCAAATGATATATTACCTGACTGTATCATTGATAATATTTTGAGTTTTGTAAGTTGTAAAAGATGCACCATTACAAAACATTTAATGAAAAACGAACCTGACAATCTAAAAGAAATGGATAAGTGGATTTGGTATATGACGAGGTTAAATAAATGTCCAACGAAAAAATCATTATATACAATATTTACAACTGATTTAGATAAAACCTTAAAAGAGTATGGATATGATAATAGGCTAATCTTGTATTATGAAACCGCTACTCAATTTCATTATAATTTACTTTTTCATAATAATGACGGTTATGTATCTTGTAGAGATTTTAGCATTTCAATGTGTAGAGATTTTCTTAAAATGTTGAAATGGCAATATATAGAAAACAAAGACAAGGTCGTTTATAAACACATTTTTAATAATGAGTTTTATCATAAATTCGTTTGTCATTTGTTAGAAAAGAAAAGGTTGATTATAGACTGGTTTAATTATAGAGATAATGATGATAGTGATTACGATTAAGTGTATTAATATTAACTTATAATATGATTAAACACTTGTATCCCCCAGAAAGCCATAAAATGGTCTGAAACCTGAACCTTGAAAATGATGAAATGTTAGACTGTTCTTAAATGAAAAAAATGTAAAAAAATGTTCAGAAATTTTAGAAAAATTCCCCACAATCCCCCTTGGTGTTTTGAACAAATTGGTTTGCTTGTTTAATTTCATCCCTGAACCCTGAAGCCCTGACTTGAAAATTCCCTGCCCTACAATCCCCCTTTCTACATTTTTTTGGGGGGGGGCGGGGATCCCCCAAAAAAAGACACCCAGCTGTGAACGTTGGTTAAATCGACCGTGGTTTTCGAAGGGGCAAGCTCCTTTTTGACGTGGGATTCCTGTTGAATCCCCTGTGGAACTGAATTTACATTACTGTAAGGCTTACTTGGAGGAATGAAGCGGATGAGTTTAAGTTGGGGCAGAAGGTGGGTACGGGTCAAAATTCAACCACCAGGGGACCGAAGGTTTTGGTCCATGTTTCCACGTACCAGGGTTTTATTTGGGGTACTTATTTTTGAACCACAGTTAGGTGACGTTGTTGTGTTTTGCTCAAGGGGGTTCCCCACAGGGAAGCCACCCTTTTTGGGGACAGGTGGTCACCGGCTTCAATGCCATGCTCTTCCCCAGTCTGACCTACCTCAAGATCTGTCGCTGGGTGAACAGTTTGCTTGGGGGACCAAAAATGGTGTGTGTGTGTGTGTGTTCTTTTTTCAGGAACCTCCTTTTCGTTGGTTTTAAAGTGAAACCAAGAGGAAACCCACCATTTGTTTGGGCGGGAGATACACCCGGTTACCTCCAGTTACCGTCTCATGTTTGGGGCTTGCCCCATGCATGGGCTCCCTGAAAACTTTCTGGGATGGGGGTCGCTGACCAAAACACCAGGAACTGATGGTTGCTCACCAACTTCCCATGCCAGTTGCGGTCACAATAGATATTCACTATGGCTCGTATCGATCGGGGGCTCCCATATTCAGAGCCCTCATAAACCAGCGGTAACATGTAGGTACGCTCTAAATCTCTTTGGTTTGGAAGGTTCCCCGCAAAATATGGTCAACCCCAAAAAGGTTCGTCCTTCCTTTTTGTTGTTAGGGCGGGCGAGGGAACTGCGATTGAATATCAACTATGGGGGATTCCAAGGGGATAGCTTTTACAGGAAAACAACCAGTTCTGGGAGTCTTCTCAGAAAATCACAAGCCCAGGTGATATCCCCAACAGCCACAACCCCTGGAACCCGCTGCCCCAAACCACCCCAGAGCCTATTTGGGCCCATCGACCCCATAGCTTCCAGCTCTTGGAAAAAAAGAAAGCAATATGCCATCTAACGTTAGTCTCAACATAGGGGAACTCCAAAAATGAATAGTGTCCTTTTCCTCAGAGAAAGAAACCCAAGAAGTTGGCACACTAGAAAGCACCACCATAAGGGTGGTTGTTTTTGTGAGTTGATACCTATTTTTCTGGCTGCAAAGGGCAACCAAAAGGAAAACCGTTGCCCGCCATTTTGGACGGGTCCAAATTCGGAAAACTCTCAGCACCCCCCAACAACTTGTTTCCATGTCAAAGTTCCCTTGTACTGTCCATTTTGGTTGGGTCCAAGCTTGAAGACAACCCCATAATATGCTTTTGTCCTCTTGAGGCTCACTCTTGACACCACGGATGGCAGGCTAGACCAAATCTGCTTCGATAAACACGCAGTTGCCGAAACACACCCTATGTGCACTCTCGTTGGATGTGCCCTGGCCAAACACTTTCAAAGAATCCGAAAGGTGAACTGGCTGTATGCAACCTTTAGTCGCAAGTGGGATCTGGTTTGGAGCCTAACTGCCAACTGGGCTGAAATGTGCGTCACCACTGTGATTTGGGCACGTGTCATAACGAAGATGTGCAGAAGCTGGTTCGCCCCCCTGCCCAAAACAAAACAAACAGTGGTGTTTAAACTGGTCGGTTGCATTGTGGATCCAGTCCTTTGGGACTGGCCACTTTATACATAGCCGCTCAAGACAAAAATATCTTCGGCGTCCCTTGGCTTCGGGTCTGCTGAAATTATCATTCCCTTCAGGCTGGGGGGTTGGACCGTTGGACGGTTGGACCCTCGAGGTCAGCCTCGGGAGCTTCGGAATCAGCTGCCGGCGGCCCTCTTCATGGCCATAGGCGCCGACTCGACTGACTCGATTCACCCGCGTCCAGTTCTGAACCCATGGGGTTCCTCACCAGCGACCACTGCGCGCGTTTTGGGGCTCTTCTGAAGCTTTTGAAACCGGACTGCCAGGGATCGCTCCATGTCCTCTCTCTTTTTCCTTCGAAAGTGGCGATCGTCGCAGCGGAACCCGCCAGTAACTAGATCAACAACTTCCACCTCACCTCTGACTCCCTCGGCAGGCTTGGCGCTGCCGCTCTCCGCCCTGCCGCGGCTGTTTTTGGGCCTCTCCGAGTGAGGGAGCTCCGGCGACCCTATTTCCGAAAGAGGATGGCATCCCGGATGCTAAGAAGAGGCCGCTTCCATTTGCCTAAGAATAGTTGCTATTTTCCCTTGTTGGTCTTACAGGGAACCTATCAATTGGAGGAAAGGGGTTACCCTCCCACCAATTAGCGTAGAACTTGACGTTTCGGGGACTGGTTTGGAACATGTTCCTTTTAAAGGCACCCCATGTCAGGTTCTATGTTAATTGGCAGGAGGGTAATAAAAGGGGGATTTGCTGAGATATCGAAGGAAGGTCCCCGAAAAGCGTCTCAAATTGATCTACAAACCAAAGACAGCCTCTTTGGATACAAGACGTCCCTTCAAGCTTAGATGTCTGGTGATAGGGGCTTGCCAGAAAGGAGGCACTTGGTTTCGTAGCCTTCTGCGTGATGTTTTCGTTACAGATAGTTAACTACGATGGGGCAAAAGGGAAGCCTCCTTTTGATGGGTTCATGTTGCGACGAAGCCATATGTGTCTTCTTTTTGGGACCCCCAAAAGGCTGTTTCCCTGTTGGTTTCCCTTAAGCCACCAAACAAGTGGTACCCTTTAAAAAAAACGACACACCCGTATTCCCCCTTTTTGGTAAACATCAGTTCACACACGACCCACTTTGGGAGTCTCTGTTTTTGGGAACGGCCACATCTCAGAAAGCGTTCGCGAATTGTGTTAATTTTCCTGCCAGTGTGTTGCCCGGAACGGGTCGCCGCGAGAATCATTTGCGGAACAGCCGGGAATAGGCAGCAATCATTGCTTTTCAACTGTGATGCCGGTGGGTTGGGTCCCAACCCAAGTTTGCATAATTCGCGGTGTTCAATCTGTTTCCCGCTGAGTTGGCTACATACTCATTGACTTGGTTCTTCGTTTGCGTTAAGGCCGTCTTTGGATTCGGCTTCATTCAAGTCAACTCACCTCAAACCTCGCGGCCCAACATCCGGCGAAAGACGGGGCCCTGGGCGTTTTGAAGCGCCAGTGGCCGTATGGCCGGAGTCCGATAGCTGAACCCAAGAAGGTCCTCATGCCATTCTGGTTGAAGAGGTATAGATATCTGTTCTATACGATAGTTGGTGAGGTGTTCATGAAATTGTCCTTCAATCATGAAAATGAGAAGAGGCTAGAAGAAAACACCTGAATAGCACATTGGCCAGAGGCTTGCCCATTGCTTTCGTGCAGGGAACACCGCGCGACTTCGGGCGGGCGAGATTCCAGGTTCCTCCAGAGTTGCCCCTACAAAAGGGTGGAACAGCCATTTGTGAGCAACTTTGTCCTGTAGCGCATGGGCCTTGCTTCTGCAATCACTGGCTCCAAAATTGCGTGGTTCGAGATTTCGGTGGGCTGCGAGGATGTACAAAGATGTACAAAGTACAAAGCGAGCGCCGTGGTTTCGAAATCGTGGACGAGCGCAAAGTGATTCAAGCGCAGATACCTCCTGACATGGAAGCTGGTCCAAAACAGGATTCCTAGACCTTTCGTGGTGCCCTGTCTTCCCCGTTTTGGAGTGTCCTTCTAGAATTAAGCTAGTTGCAGTTGCAGGTCTTGAGTTGCGCATGAAGCCGATCAGCGGTCCATTTTGGAAGCTTGCTTGAAAGTGCCAGCAGCACCCAGCCGTGAATGACAATTCACATGGAGGAAGGAGCTCACCTATTAGAGTCCAGCTCGGACTGTGTCAAAACTGAAGACCCCCAGAGGTTGGAATTTGCACTTGGCATGTGGACAGGAACAGCTCGGTGTTTTGGCTGTGGTATGCAGAAAACCATTGTTTCATGTCTTTCGCAAAGTCCGGTGGTCTTGATTGGCGGATATACGGTGACACAATCCTGCACCAGGTGGTAGGTAGTTATTCCCAGTCGTTAAAAGGGTTCCTCCATTCCATTTGGTGCAGGAGTTTGTGCAGCCGCTTGGAATTGTTTAAGTCGAGCCAGAAACGCGGCACAATAGTCTGTTGGAGCCTTCGTGAAACCTAAGGAAGCAAATCAGCTTCCCAAGAGTCACTATGGCAATGTGATTGCCTTTGATTCTGCCGTTGGGAGGGTCCAAGCAAACCTTTGTTGCTTCAGTTGTTCAAGTCAACAACTTTTTCTAGAATTAAGAAACAAAATGCCAAATGTCTGGCATGATTTTTGGTTCCCTACAAAGCAAATTCAAAAGGGTCCAAATGCGGCACCCGCCAAAAGACTTGTCAGAAGAACCTTGCCGTGCGAATTTGTGCCACAGGGCTACTCTCATGATATGATGGGAAAGGCATGCACGAATCCGATCGGACGCCTTGTTTAGCTCACCATTGTTTGCCCCTAACCAAACAGGGTTCCAAGTCTGGTTCTACCTTTTTTCTTGCAATTGGGCTTGTTTGTTGGAGTTCTCTTTTTTTTGGCTCATTGGCCAAGAGAATCCAAGGGAAAATGAACGGGCCGGAGTTCCGTTTTTTCTCAGAAGTTGTTTGTTTCTTTCGAGTCGGCATCCCTTCACAGCTTGAATTGGCGATCGCTGCACCACAGGCTTGTATTTGTTGCACACTATATTGTTAACTTATTGGACAAATGTGTGGATTCTGACCAGTGTGCCGTTATTATTGTCAAAAAGCATGGGTGTTCTTGCCACCCTCCGGACAGGTGCTTTGTGGTGCATTTCGGGTTGGTGTGGGGTTTGAAGCTGGCTCAGGTAGCTTGAGGGTGTTCTTTGATTTTGGTTCCTTGCGCCGCGTTTCGGGGAGAGCCATCGCCTGGTGAGAGCGGCTTAACCCAAAGGTGGGTCAAAGAAGCCGACGGTGAAGCCTCGCTTCGGAGTGCCTCGCAGCAAATTTGGGGTGGTGTCCAAGGGAAGCCACCGCCCAAAATGTGCGGGTTCCCTTTGGTTTCCCCAAAACCCAGACAGGCGAAGTCAAATTCCGATCTGGGGAAGGTTCCTGATTTGGGGAGCGCTTTTCTTTTTCAGGTGTGGAATCGCAGTGATTTGCTCAGATTGATGATTCCGACCATGCAGAGACTATCTAGAGCAGACGGTTGGTGGCAATATTCATTTCAGAGATTAAATTAGAAACGGTTAGAGGGCACCACGCCAATAACTCCGAAAATTCGACATCGGATGATCTGAGAAGACTCAGGAATCCTAGAAACTCTTATTGGCAAACAAGAAAATACATCATTCCAAATAATAATTGCAAAACAAATATATATATTATATAATACACCCCCGCAAACAAACATATTGAAAGAAAATGTGCATGGCTATGTTACTAAATCATGTCGTTGCATCGGCTTTTAACAAATCCTGAAACTAAGCTGACGAGATTACGTTGAGCATTTTGGGCTGAAAGGAGTCGAAAACTAGAAAAGACGATGGCTTTTCGCAAATCTTAGGAAAGTCACCGGTGTTCAGTGGCTATGTTTAATATTGGGCTTCTTGTTTGTGGGTGTTATGTTTGTTTGCGGGGGGTAATAATTCAAATTAAATGTATTAAGTAGTTTATTAAAAAAAACCATGTGTTTATATGTTAAATTAAAAACATATTTGAACGATATATGTGTTTTTGAGTTTAGTTATGTTTAATTAATTGTGTATTTAACGAAATTATATTATATGGTATATTTAAATGTAGTTGATTTAAGCTTATTTAAAAAAGGAAATAGATAGATATAATACTTATTGATTTGTTATGTTTGAACATTATATATATATATATAACCAGGCTGCCGCCTGCTGCCGCCGACCCTCGGCGCATTAAGGGAAATTCATGTAGGAAACTGTTCGTTAATTGCTGAGACACGTCGAGGTGCGAGGTTGAGGACCCCCCTGTGTTTGGCTGTATCCATTGATTACCACGCAACAATCCGCTTTACAGGAATTACCATTACTCCACAGTACCAGGGACATCCAGTCTCAGTATATGCATTATTGGCATATTTGACTCTCTTGCAGAATAGATTTAGGGACTACTTACAAGATCCTCCACTACCACGAGGATTCACGGAAAAGTTAGAAAGATGGCAGCTCGTCTGTTAATTAGCGCTTGGGCCGGTTCGCGCCCAAGTCACTTCGAGTTGGCCCGGGAGTGGTCCTTGAAACAAGGCCAAAGCCTCTCCCTGGCCGAAACTGCCCCTGGGACGGTTGCCCTGAACCAGTCGCCGACCGGGTCCAGGCTGGTCCCAGGAGCGGTCCTGAAACAGCTGCCAGTCCGGAAACAGGCGTCTGGCGCGGTTTGAATCTAGATCCAGGGATCCTCTACTACCGGAAAAGTCAGAAAGATAGCTCGTCCGTCAAGTCGGGTGCCAGTTCGGAAACAGGTGAATCGACCTATTGGAGGTGGGTGCTGGGACCGGTCCGGGAATCCATTTTTTGTGCTTTCGGGCGTGTTCCCAGAAACCAAAAATTCGTCATGGATTCCAATCACTTCATTCCAGTTGTATCCCACGCCGGTCCCCTCTGCAGGAGGCTGGGACGGGAGGCAGAGGGTTGGCGGATTTATTTATTAATATTTTGTCTTGTTTCTCAAGGGATTCCTTGCGGGAAGGGAGCAGATCGCGGTTTGCGGAGCTATTGCTTTTGTGGTTGGCTGGGTCGTAAGAGACACTGTTTTAGGCCACTCACAGCCTAAGATCTTTGCGTGCAATTACAACTATTGGAAAGTCAAATCTGTAGATCATAACTTTACTTGATGTTTCCCAGACTGCATTGGCCCTGAAGCTGAGGATCGTGTGTTGAGCCTAGACGTCAAGGGCTCCGGGAAAAGCAAAGGACAATTTGGTGTTGCTCGAATTTAGCAAAGGTGTGTGTGGCCACCCAATCATAAAAGAATGCACTTACCAGCTGTATGGCCCCGCACCATACCTGTTGCTCAAGTGCCCTGCGTACCTCCCTCGCCGCTGCAGGCTGCTGCTCCCGCAAGTGCGGTGCTGGTGCTGGCTGCACCGGCTGCGCCGGTAGAACCGGCTGTGCCGGTAGCACCGGCTGCGCCTGCACAAGGATGCACAAAGCATAGTCGCATAGTCGCAAGCGCCGATAGGAATGGCTCACAGCATGCAGATTTAGCAGCTTTGGCCTGGCTTCACCCAGC